TGAGGTATAATTGAGATACAATAAACTTCATATATTAAAGTGTAAAATTTAATGTTTTGATGTTTGCATACCCTGTGAAACCATCACCACAATCAAGATAATAAACATCCATCACCCCCAAAAGCTTCCTCTTCATAATCCCTCCCTCCTCCCTCTGCTTCACCAGGTAAGCACTGACCTGCTTTCTGTCATTATAGATTAGTTTGCATTTCCTGTAATTTTATATAAATGGAATCATATAGCATATACTTTTCTGTCTGGGTTCTTTTCACTCAGCATAATTGTTTTAAGATTTGCCCACGTTTTTGTGTTTATCAATAGTTCATTCCTTTTTATTGCTGAGTAGTATTCCATTTTATGGATATACCACTGTTTGTTTATTCATTCACCTGTTGATGGACATTTGGGTTGTTTCCAGTTTTTTTGACTATTACAAATAAAGCTGTCTTGGAAGAAGTACAACCAGATACTCCTTAGAAGGAAGGATGGCGAGACTACGTCTTACATACTCTGGGTGTTGTCAGGAGAGATCAGCCCCTGGACAAGGACATCATGCTTGGTAAAGTACAGGGTCAGCGAAAAAGAGGAAGACCCTCAAGGAGATGGATTGACACAGTGGCTGCAACAGGGGGCTCAGGCATAACAACGATTGTGAGGATGGCGCAGGACAGGGCAGTGTTTCGTTCTGTGGTGCATAGGGTTGCTATGAGTCAGAACCAACTTGACGGCACCTAACAACAACAACAAATAAAGTTGCTGTGAATATTTGTGTGTACAAGTCTTTGTATGGACATCATTTATTTCTCTTGAGTGAATACATAGGAGTGGAATGGCTGGATTATATTGTAACTGTATGTTTACCTTCTTAAGAAACTGACAAAGCGGTTGTACAGTTTTACATTCCCACCAATAATATATGCCCCACCAACACTTGGTATGTACAGTGTAGTGAATTGCTTTTATGTGGCCCTTCTAGCCCCGGTCTTGTAACTCCCACGAATGATTGACTGGAATATGCAAATAGGGTACCTATGGCCCATCAAGGGCACTGGTAGGTTTTTCCATGCTGCTAGGCTTAGAAAGAGTCAAACCCAAAGGTTGAGGGGGGACATCGCTACCATCAACAAGAGCCAGGAGCAGAGCACATCGTTTGGACCTGCAGTCCCTGTGCTGAGAACCTCCTAGACCCAGGAGACAGAGAGAGCTGTAACACCAGAGATGGCACAAGACTTTGAGAAGCTCTTTATATATTCTGGATAAAAGTTCTTTATCAGATATGTGATTTGTAAATATTCCCTCTGAGCCTTTAAATTATCTTTTCATTCTCTTAACCATTATTATTGTTTTTCATTAACTACAAGAGAAAAGTAATAACTTTACAGTGGAGAAACCCAGCAGAAACACCTTAACTATGTTATCAAGGCTAATATCAAGTGATAAGACAGATCAATATCATGGGCCTCTTGATATAATGGGCTGAGAAGGATACAACATCACTTCTGTGGTTTTCTTGCCAAAAATGTATAACTTCATTCCACTCATGAGAAAACATCAGACACACCTAAATTGAAAGACATTTTACAAAGTAACTGATCAATACACTTCAAAAGTGT